CACGGCCCGTTGTTTGCGGTAGGCAGATGCTTCAGGTGTTTACCAATCCGATCGATGGTTTCGGTCACACCAGAATGAATAGGACTTCTTTGAGTTCACAAACGCAGCGTCAGTTAACATTCACCTACAATACCGTTGATCACAATAAATTCTCATGTTTCCCTGTTTACTAATATTCCCCATTCAAAGATTTTGAAAGTGCTGGTTTTGACTGGGTGTCTAGGAGTGAAACCAAATAGCTGCATACTTTCTCTTCTATATGCGCGCGAATCAGAAGATATATTGGGACAACCTAGTTACCTCCTTCCGCTTGTGTAGCTTTTGGGCTTCCTGGACAGTCTGAATACCTTTAATCGACTAAAGTCTTCAGTACAATTATTTTGACTCTCAGTATCCCCCTCCCCTCTTCCCCAATTTAGAGAATGCATCAGGGTTCAGTTGTGGGTCGTTGAGTTCTAAAGGCAGACTGCATAAGTTAGCGAATTGAACAGGATTGGAACCGATCACCATTGCAACCGTACTGGCTGTCTTGCACCTTCAAAGTATACCCGCAGACTGAGAGTGAAACACTGCTCAGTCCGGTCTGACGAAAACCAACATGGGTAACTCAGAACTTCCCGAAATGCTCAATCTATTCAGCGTAGCCGATTCACCGGCTCGTGATAAGGCTTTTTTAACCCGGTCAAAGTATTAAGCAAATCGAGTCAAATACAAAACGTCCAAATATTTGGACTAGGCCTACCAGTTGAGCCATGCAACCACTACCTGAATTCAGTCACCAATAATAGTACCTCAGAGTGATAGCTGTAAAGTCGGACCAGTAGGTTCGTGGATGAAACAACTGTACATGATCTATTCCCCCAAGCCAATCTTGACCATTTCAGGCGGAAATAAACCTCTAGTTGCCCAAGTAAACCCTTCTTTACATGTCATGCGTTTTCTGAAGCCCTTTGAGCAGTCCACTGATGGTTTTCTCCTCCTTACATTCTCTCATGTGGTGTAGTCAGCGAGATTCCATCCCACCTACTCTTAAACGCCAAATTGTGCTTAACTGAAAAATTACACGCATTTGCGAATTTCTTTGTTGGCAACGAAATAGCAAAAAGGTCCTCCTGTTCATGATGCTCTACGATCGCCACACAAAGATCACCTCGTGTTACAGTTGGCCCGACATTTGTGTGTTTTGTCAAAAAATACACCGCACTATTTCAAATGTCACGCCGACTGAAAGGTGAAGCAGTCCCTGTGTGGCACATTCATTTGAAGGGTGGGCTAAATGAGAGATCCAGCTTATTTTTCAGTTATCTTCAACTTATTTCGCTACGAAAATCTCTATTTCTTGCCAGACGAAGCTACCAAATGCAGTAAGGCTGTTCCAGCTGCAATTCCGAAGAGGTTAGAGACCAGTTATGCAATGGTGTGACAGCATTGTCGTTGACGGTTTGCGGATTAAACTATAACCTATTTGTTGACGGCTCCACTCATCCTCAACCTCACTCATCAACCTTATTTCTATGAGGTTAGTTGTATAACCAACAGTTTTCAAAAGACACAAACGTTGTCGCTTTATCGTCTGTCAAACGTGATTTCTTCAGAGGGCTGCGGAAAAGATTCATCTTTCTAATCACAGGTACGTGTAGTCACATAGACAACAGAGCAGCCGTTCTAAAGGTAAAGTTCGAAGTTCTAAGTAGAATGTGACTACACGGAACGTAGGTTCTGTAAAAGCACACTTGCAAATCAAGGTTTGACTTGAGTCGAGTTGGTTAGTTGACAACTCAGTAGCTTGGGCGCAGCTCACATACAGGGCAAGAAGGAAATGAGTGGGGACAAGCCGAACAACCCAAAAGTCACACCCCGTGCAATTCTTTGTCAGCGTGGTCAGTTGCCTGAATGACAAATTCATGCACACAATGTCTAAATGATACGAGACTTGGATGTTACTAACACATGACGGAATGCATTAGACTCAAAGGTCTCCAGTTCTATTTGTGTCCCAGAAAGTGTAGGGGTGTCGTCAGAAGTGGATACACGAAACTAAAAACCGAAACCGAGGTTTCCTCTCAGGAAAGGCCCTTACTAGCCGTGGTGTCTAGATTCAAACCAGTCAGCGGGTCTGCCGGGCTTTAATGTGACAAGATGGACACAGCACTCATCATCAGCGTTTCAATGTATTAACCCATGACAGCTTACGCGGATGGCAAACTATCTAGCCATTATTACGCTGAGTTCAACAATACACATGGACGATCTACAACTCTACCAGAGAAGTCGAAAGATGATGATTATTTCAAGACGTAATATATTATTCTGACAAAAAAAAAACAGAAAAACACCTGGTCAGCTGCAACAGTATTTGTGAACTTACTGCTAGACATTAAGATGGGATATGATACAGTGGCCACTCGATTCACGTCTACACTTGCCAGAATAACGTAGTCTAATTTTGTGTCGTATGGCACGGTAGGCCATCTTCTGTTTTGAAAAAGATACGAATAAGGTTAATGAGAACAGAACAGCCTATAACAAGTTTGGCTTTTGCTGGGGCTCATCAGGTAGGCGTAGTCCCCGAGTTGCCGTCAGCATTACTTTCTCCTTGAACCCAAATGGTACGAAATCTACTTATCCGCCTAAGAACCTGGTTTTAATTAAGGATTTAACTGAATCTCAGCTGAATTTCTAACGTGTGATATTGGTCAATTGGATATTCTGCGAAAAGACTACCTTATGCTTCAGTCGGAAGAAACAGTAATTCTAATATTGCTGGAAACGCTTTGACAACCCATGATTATTTGTGCTCACCAAGTGGGCGCAGTCCCCGAGGTTTCGTCAACCTTATGTTGTGCTTGAACACATTTCAGACGAAATCCGCCGAATATCCCTCGTTTTACATTCCGTTGACATTAACTGTAGCATTAGAAGACTTTTGCACAGCATACAAAATGTGAAAAGATCACAAACAAAAGTCTCGGTTGGAATTTAGCTGAATTCTTCTTTAAAATCATATTACTTTGTAAGTGAGTGTGATTTATGTAAAAACTATCCTCGGGATGCACCTAACCAACGTTCTTGTGCAAAATGTTTTGTTTGAAAAGGGTTACTGTCGGGTTGGACAAAGGTAATTAATTGTCTGTGGAGTCTTGTGGTGTGTTTACGACATATTTCTCGTGCTGTGACCAGCATATGTCAGTGAATTCCTGGCCATTTTGTTGTTGAGTCTCGCTTTCACACTCTGTAAAATGAGGGTATGTGCCTCGTGACATTTTCTGAGTAACCTTGAACTGAAGATGTTGAAATTATAGGGCTGCCAAACGGGACAAAAGTTTCTACCGGCTCCACTTTGGCCCCCATTGATTTCCGCAATGCCCGTAAAAGTAGAAAAACACAAAACATGTAGTGAAAAAAGCAAATCTTAGTTTCAGTATCCAGTAGCCTGGCCACTGAAGAAAATGACTTACGATGGTATGGGTACTATACTCGTTCTGCTAAATGTCCAATGGCAATGAAAGTAGATAGTTCATTCGTTGGGATCCTGTCATTCAACGATCCATTTGCACGTATTCGTTTTTACAGAGACCTTGGTACCCAGCAAGAGGCTTCATTTTTTATGTCTGTAGGTTGTATAACACTGCGCGACAACCTGAATTGTGTTCAACAGATTGTGAGTGTGTATAGCAGAAGTAGGACGTATTTACTGGTCCCGCCTCCATTAAATGCACTGAGTTTGCTTTGGAAGCATTGTTAGTTCAGTGCTTTTTGTGTGACGCAATGCATTTTTCTCTAGAATTTTTGATTAGGTCCAATATACTTCACAGTAGACTAACGATTCCTGACTTGACACAGAAGGTACGTATTATAAACACTTCAACACAGGACACACACACAGCCTACAGTCAAAACTAACACATTCAACTACGCCTAGCATCGTTGCTGGCAAATTGGTTATGAGTGAATAAAGTGACCGGAGAAAAATTGAAAGACCTCACACTCCATTTCGGCTATTGGCGTAAGCAATTCCTAATCGAATAATATAAAAAATAAATGCAATAAAGTTAGCGAGTCAAACAGTCTGGAAAGTCTGTTGGCCTTTGTGAGGTCCTGCCTTAGCAGTGAAAAACAATGGTATCAGCAACCGCTTCGTTATCAAACAATTCCAAGACATACATGCGCTTCTTATCTCCCACAAAGGCCGACTCAGTTCCACACCGCATAATTCTCCCTAATCATACCTGACTTCCTAGCTTACCAAGTACTCTTAATCAAACTGAATACAAATCAGTACGGATGGATCTCAATATTGTAACTGACCCCTTCCTTATCCTCACCTGAAAATAGACTCGCATTCTTAATGATTTTTTCTTGTTATACAACAGTATACCACGACAATGTATCTAAGTAGCTTGTGTGGTTAGCAACTACTGTTTAGGTAACGGTCGATCCGTTTACCGAGCTTGGCATTTGGTTTGCAAACGTTTCACCACCACGCAGGGAGACATCTTCATTAGGACCGTTATTCAAAATAGACCATATAAGGAAAGTGTAACACGAAAAATTTAAAAATGTTTCTAGAATCAAAATCATCAAATTTGTCAGGATAGTCCCACAAACTGGCTAGTTTTTCACTTTTGAATAAAGCAATCGCGATCTTGAGATAACGTGTAAAAGGATGAGCAAAACGTGCCAGGATCAGAAGAGCATGTACCAGTTAGTCGAGTGAAAAGCAACAGAATAAGGCGTTTTCCATCCAAGAAGAAAGTAAAATATACGTTTGCTTACGTGGTTCTCACACAGGCAACCTTTAGTCATTTTATGGGACACTAAACTGCTTTTTTGTTTAGCCGCCAGTTTAACCGCAACTAGTCAGTAGCTGTGAATTCATATCGATTTATGTCGCCCGTTTGAAACATCAGCCGGCTGCCCGCGAAGCCCGAGATTGGAGGCAAAACGCTCGAACACTGATAGTTCAATTTGAAAACATATATTTTCCAGATCAGTGGAAGTGGAAGCACATTTCTTGAAAAATAATCGCTGCAAAAGTTCAAATTTTCACAAAACTAGGTGTGTCTGAATGAAAAATGCATTTGCATTCTCCTCTGTTGACAAATCGGCTTCATCCACATTCGAGGTTTTCAACAATCCCCACCGGTCGGAGAGTGTAGAGGATGAATTCCATAATATACTGCATACCTGGTGTGATGTAGTGAAACGTGGCCGCCTCATCACTCACGATACACTAGATCGGGAGACAATAGAGAGACCAAAGTTATTTAGAAAGATGCGACTGTTAGAAATGTTTCTGATTATGAGGCTACCGAGTGGGTGTAAAAGTACCATGGTCAGCAAACTTCTGGGGTTTTGCTTGGAACATATGAAGTTATCAAAACAACAATTGATGACCACGGTAGCCCAATCTATCAAATAAAACAATAAATTTGATAATTAGGCATATTAATCTACACTACAGTTGGTTGATTGAAGAAGGACCGATTCGTTCAATTGCTTGGAGGTTGTTTATGCCTTTTATGAGTTTTCGAAGAGAAGTACCAAATTTAAAAATCAAGTCAATTTATTTTCAACGAAAGACCTAATTGGATCTCTCGTTTATGATAGTCCTCAACTGAGTGTGCTGCATAAAGGCCGCCGCATGTCTCAGTTGGTACGATATTCGAGATATTGCCGTATATTTCCATGAAGGAAACTACTCACAAGGTTGCTGGAAACACTTCGACAGCCCACAACCGGTTTCACCCTTCTTGGGGCTCATCAGGTAGGCGCAGTCCCCGAGTTTCCGTCAACATTATGTTCTATTTGAACCCAAATTGGACGACAAATGCACTCGTTTGCAAATCAGTTTAAGTTGCACGGAAGACTCAACCAAATCTCTCGTTTTCCCAATGTGTTCGGTTTTTCGATAGCCTAATCACGTCTAAAATCGGTGAATTTCTGGATGAAACATGCGTGGGTTTGCCACAGAATCCTTTGAAAATAAACTCCTACTTCGTTGAATTCTCACAGTAGCGACTTTGTTTGATTGCTCTTCAGTTAAAAATCACTCACGACCTCCCATTGATTTGTCAAAAATTCCATCCATGAGAAAGTCTGTCGTTCGGGACATAGAAATGCACAAGTTTCGCGCTCTGTTCTGTAGCATCACCATTTGCTTATGAAAGGTTCTGTTCGATAAGTCGATTGAAAAAATTGACTGGCGCATTAAGATATCAGTTTGGATGTTGTGAAACCATTACTTTTCACTGAAACATATGTTTGGTTAAACTGCACATGCTTGGGACTTTCTTGCAGTCAACTCTAACTACATCGAATCATTATTTGTTTCATTGGTCAGCTCCGGTGTGTAGAAGACATTTCCTCGCGTTGATCCACCTCTCAGTGCAAATTTTGATGGCAGAAAAATGGCTTAATATTTCCATTTTCCAATAAATCAAGTCATGGGTGCTGGTCCATCGTGAAACGACTGCTTCAAACCCTCGTTTGTTATTGTTCACCTTAATTTTCGGCATTCATGGGTGCTTGTCACTAGTCTGCACACACGTCTGTGCAACACGGAATTAGTTGCAGGAGAAAAAGCTATCGAGAGCAAACAGAAGCTAAGTCATCAACATTTCGTGCAACATAAACACCAAGAAAACTCAGGTCCGACGGGCACCACCCGTTCACTTCCGAAGGGTTATTCGCCAGAATCAACGGCTTTCACGGTTTCTTTCACTTAACTAAAGAAGTAATTTATTCAGAATGAATGCCTTAATTCAGTTCCTTTGATTGGTCCTCCTAAATTGCGGAAATCGCTCTGATACAAAAAGATATAGGAGCATATACGCTTACTTCCAATTTGGGAATTTCAGACTAAATAATCATTGTATGCATGCATATTTAAATTGTACACCTTTGAAAAGTTGACTTCAAGAGATTGGTTAGAGTGGCAGATACATACAGATACAACCAACAAAATATTGAAGAGAACAGCTTACGGCAGTCGAATTTGAAAGACAGCTGTGGAAGTGGACACAGGATTTCGACTTAAGAGCAGATATCAGAAAACCCAAAGAAATGGCTCTGTGTAACACCAGACGTTTTATTACGCTGCCAGTGAAAGGTCAAGGTTTCATGCGCAACTTCTCTTTATGTGGGTAGCTGAGTGTTCTTTTCGTGTGCATGCTGATCACGGTCAAGTCACCACAGTGACATCACGTGACTGAGTACTGCAATTTGTTAAGATCCTATAAACAGCGCATGTGATGAGACCGCGTAAGGAGTAACAAGGTCACTAGGACGTCTGAGCAAACCTGCTGCTATGACCCCGAGGCATTCCGCGAGAACATGGTTCTCTATCTTGACTGCGCTGTTACTGAAATCAGCACCATATATTGTTACGAAGGCTAAGGCACGAAGTGACTGGACACTGATTGCATCGGTATTTGCTTACACAGATCTCTCAGCTCGGTCAACGGCAATGATCTCTCCATTGTGTTCACTCATTATTATCATTTTTCCAGCCAGTCAACCTTGTTGGGCGCCGTCAGACTCAGTGTATTACACTCAGCTTCGATAACTGTCTCATCGTACCTCCAATTGTTCATCTCATTTTCATTTACATTTTATACCGAAATGCTGCTGTCATTTCTCCAAGAAATTTACCACCTCGGAAGAGAAGTGGAGTTTTCATCTGAAAAGTCGTCACTCCAGGACGACAGGTGATGTGGTTCCCACGACTGAAGAATGAGTGGCACAATATCCTGTCTAAGTGCGGCTTAGAGGAATTGCTAATCAGCGGCTTGTGGCTAGAAGATTAAGTGTTCAGACTGCTGGTAAGGATGCCGGGGGTTCAAAACTGCCTGGAGTTTTGTGAGTTGTACACTGGTGATGATTCCCGATAAGAATGAAACAGTGGGACAGTGCTTCTTGGCCTTTCAGAATAGACTGGTTTCCATCACAGGAGGAAATGTCGCTCAACGAATTTACTCCCAATCCGTGACGAAACCCAATGCCCTTGTGAGAGTAAGAACCACTGTGAAGGACCAGTGTGGAAAATATGATATAATTTCATTAAAAAAAAAAAAAAAAAGTTTGCTGAGAACTCCTCGCCACGCCAGCCCACGACCGGTTTCGCCCTTCTTGGGGCTCATCAGGTAGGCGAAGTCCCCGAGTTTTCGTCAACCTTATGATCTACTTGAACCCAAATTGGACTGTTTTCGAGAAATACACTCATTTGCAAATCCATTCCGTTTTCACCGGTGGTGGGCTGTTGAAGAGTTTTCCCCAACCTTGTGAGCAGTTTCTTTTATGAAAATATACTACGATATCTCGAATATCGTGCCAACTGAAACATGAGGCGGCCTGTGTGCAGCACCTTCAGTTGTAGAATATGATGTAATTTATTATAATTCATCGATGGGTTGTTAATGCCATTGTTAGGTGATGAAGAGAAATGTGAAAAAGACGCCACTCAGAAATGAAAATCTTGCAAAAGCCGAATTACTTGGGCCTAATATGATGCATTGGGCTGGATGGGGCCAAAAGATCAGACTTATTACCAAAACATTGGTTCGTGTCTTCGGCTGAGTAAGCCGAAGGCCCGTCGAAATTGGTTTAACTTTGAAAGAAACAACTCCAAGCTACGCTATTTTTGTTTCATCGGATTGAGTATATTAAATTAGTTTGAAAAAAGTGTAGCAAAGCCTCCTAGTAAGGCTGGTGGGCTAATCCGAGTGACAAACTGATTACTTATTTTAAAGCAGACAGTGCACCATATTTGATGAACGCCCAATGAAGTGGGAAACACTATAAAAAGACGAACTTTTCTACCGTTTGCACTGAATGAAGCTATAAACTGTCACAATACGCATTTAGTCTCTACAGAGGATTTCAAGGGCTACGCGGTGCTCACGAAAAGGATAAAAGTTGAAATGTTAAATCATCATGTTAGCCAGTGTCACCAGAGAATCATATTAGAGGAACTGGGTGGCATCCCTATTTCTCGTGGAAGAAGTTCAGCACCGACATTTTTCAAAGTCGTTCCGGTTGGCTGTTGGTAAAACTTGTTATTGTGCTTATTTTTGTTTATGGAAGGTCTGACATACGTTCCGTCACAACTATATGGTTTGGTAATGCGCAAAACACACATCTTTGTCTGTGAATAAACTACCAGACTGTGGAACTTATTTGAGTGGTTGCGATCAACGTTTGGTCATGCGAGTCATACCGTATCACGATAGCAAATTATCATCGATCCATATCGATCGTGCGGAAATCTCACCTACTTAATTATTGGCGTAGCGATTCGGTGTTCCACAGTAGTCAGTATTGTGGTACCATAATTTGCCAAACACAATATTCTACCCACAGATTGCACAATAACACTTCATATCCTGAAGAACACGGAGGCACTCTTTGGGGACTAGCTGAATCCATGCTATTTAATTGGACTTTCATTTTGTGCTTAAAAGCCTAAAAAGCCTAAAAGCTTGAAAGCCTAAGACTGATTTATACCTAGCATTCACTGTTATTGAGAAGTCAAATGAAAACACTTTGTACCGTAGTATTCGAAATTTGAGAAGGATTCTTGGAGGTAACGGGCACCCTCACAGCAGGCGGTCAACTAATCAATTAAAGGACACCAACGAAAGAACCTGTATTTTTAGTACCAGTCGTCCGGAAGCTAAATCATTGATTTACTGAAGAGTTTTGAACATGTCAATCAAATCTTGAACTTTTGTTCAGNCATACAAGACGTAAAGCACTTTCGAATTTTTTATGGAAAGGAAATTCTATTCTGACTATATTTATGAGTCCTAATTCGACTTGAGAATGAATCTGTTTGAGTCAGGCAAAGCCAGTTAGTTACTTACCCTTCTAACGCAGCACTCTTCCAGACTACAGAAAACATCCTTCGTGAGAGCAGATTGTTATTACTGTGAAGAATTTTCTACCGACTTAAGTGAGTTTGTTTGTCTTGTGCCTAGTGGCCCCATCACCAAGGTTGCAAAGCTCTGATTCCACTAATATGGGTATCAAATGGTGTCGACAGAGTAGTCAGTGAATATATTTATAGGAGTGTGCACACAGGTGCACAGGTTGCAGGAAGGCAGTTCATTCAACACCTTTCGGGATGATGAACTCACCTCGTGATGAATTTCCTAAGGATACTTGTAAAAATGAACGACATAGGATAGAATCACGCATAAAGCTTTCATATAGACACGAGCTTGCTAGCTTTTGGAAGGAATATCTTGGTTCCATATAGTATCATTCCGTTTTGTGATGGTAGTAAGAAAGATTTTCTTGACAGATGAATCGTGGGATCTTGTCTCGCTGCTTTACCGCAATGGTATCATTCCAGATCAATGCGCTGGAATAAGCAATGAAGAAGGCCTTCTGATTGGATGAATAAACACTCAAAATATGACCTTACTTTCACCTCCTAATGAGCCATCGTTTTTACAAGAAATACTTCAAAGTTCGCAAGTCTCTGAAAGATTGTCATTCTTCTATGGAGCAGATGAGGTGAGCTCCTAAAGTAAATGTGTTTGGGGTTAAGCATGGATGTCGGGAGTTTGTATTTAGCGCCGTGAGTGTTTAGTTGTTACTTTTGAAAAAATGTTCCAAGCATGTTGACGTGTCACTACCGAAAACTTTCCAAGAGCCTGGCGTTTAAACAAGCACACTAAGTAGCATTTGGAAGGAAGGTACACGTCGGTTTGGAACAGAATTCGGGAGCTCATGAGTCGTCATTGAGCGCACTACAGGAATGAAAGTAGTTGGTTTTTGGAGAGGTAAAGTAACTTTTTTACGGTTGATTAACAAGAATGCCATATTTTCGCTTTAGTTGTTAGGCGTGGTTTGTCGTTACAACCAGAACAGTTCACAAGAAAGTGGATAAGGGGATCGATCCGGTAATTAGGTGAAGGTTTTTAGGCGCTTAATTTGCGCATCAACCAAACTAGCCCGGGAAAGAAAAAATATCAACAATTTCAGTCGTTGTTGCCACTGAATTTTAATGACAAACTATATACCAAAATACCGAGTGATGACCAAATATGGACAAAGCAAATGTACTCACCATGGATTTTTCCACAAAGGGAAATTCAACACTAATTTTTTGTGGCAGCCAACGTGGAATATTCAATACACTGAGGCCCAGAAGTTCTCCTAGAGACAACCAGTTGAACACTTCCTTGGAGTTTTGGTCGAAATGTCGATATAATTTAACACCGACTGCTTGGCCACACCTACCTGAAGTTTAGACAGGGTACAGGTGAGTTTGTCATACCCAAATGTTATTGGCTGTTTCACGGACATAAAAACGGAGCGCAGTTCTACAAGCAACATAATAAGTATTATTATCAGAATACTAAAACTTTGAGATGTAGTTTGCCGTTTTGGTCTTTTGATCATTCCGAAGAATATAATACTGGGAAATACACCCACTCAACTGAATCTCTCGGTTGTGTTATTCTAATTTGGGTTCATGTAGAACATAAGGTTGACGGAAACTCTGGGACTGCACCTACCAGATGAGCCCCAAGAAGGGCAAAACCGGTCATGGGCTGCCGAAGAGTTTTCAGCAACCTTGAGAGTAGTTTCCTTCATGAAAATATACTGCATTATCTCGAATATCATACCAACTGAAACATGAGGCGGCCTGTGTGCAGCACATTCAGTTGAATATCATAAACGAGAGATTCAGTTGAGTCTCTTGTGAAAACTAAATTGATTTTCAAAGAAGTGTATTTCCCGAAGATAGTGCAATTTGGGTTCAGGTAGACCATAAGTTTGATGGAAACTCGGGGACTGCGCCTACCTGATGAGCCCCAAGAAGGGCGAAACCGGTCATGGGCTGTCGAAGAGTTTACAGCCACCTTGTGAGTAGTTTCCTTTATGAAAATATAATACTGTTTTTTAAGCCTGTAACATGAACTCTTCTGTCAGACTGTCCAACTAGCTACGAAATATACCATGTCCGCGCAGGAGCAAAATGATTTCCGTAGTCTGATAAAGTTTCCTATTGTGAATCATCATTGAATGTACCAGGAAGTACTGAATAACATGAAGTTTCCTGCCCGATGGATCTTCACCTCGCCTGAGTGCAGTTTATTAACCATCCACAAAATAATGGTTCTATCCAGGTTTTATAACGAAAGCTCGCATATTTGGACCTCTCTGGAAGTAGATAGAAACAAAAAGCTAACAGTTCCCGACAGATATAACGCATATTGGGTAACGTTAATACAATATATTGATCAACAAGGGTACTATTAGTGATTCCGAAAAAAACTTGTAAGTAAAAACTGACTTGCACTCCATAATCAATTTCACTGAGTATACATTTTTGAACTATCGTAGTTCCTTATCTATGAGCAGAACGAACTGGTAATCAGATATTCTAGGAAGAAACAGATGTTCAGCGAATTGAGCAGTACGGAGCGAGTCGTTACTATGTCACGGTAGTCTTTCTTACATTGCTTTATTCAAAAATGTTCTGATGTAGGAACAGGCCATGGTTTTTCCCGTGGGATCCAAGCCCATGACATTTTTTGCGCCACAGAAAGAGAATCACAAAATAAGAGATTGTCCATTGTGATTTGATTTCCCACAGTGCTTATTTTCGCGCTCCATGTGAGCAACCTGGCCATTCTGATGGTGTTTCCTCCTATCACAGAATATTACAGTCCTCAATTTGTGGCTTTACAAATTGAGACGATCTGCTAACGTACATGTTCATTATAGCCATCTTGTGCTTCAAACGTGAATCTCTGAAGATCTGACAATTGCCTCAAATATGTAGTTTAGCTCATATTTGGGGTATTCATTCCTGGGAATCTTCGCCTCACGCCGTACAAATTTACGATAGGCTAATAATTTCTCGGCGACCAAAAAGGGTACCCGCTGCGCTTTTCAATCGGGCGAAGTTTGTCTCATTGACATTTTTCTTATTCAAATATTTTGCAGTCCGGTAGGCTTTTTTGTTCCTTACCGCTAGGTGAATTCATGCACTGCCTTTTGACCGGCTTCAAAACACTTCTGCGTTTCACCTGCAGAAAACACAACTCATCAGAGAGTCAGCGTCACCAGTGGTCGTGAGTTTCGACAATCTGTGGATAAATCTGTTGGCGTTGCGCAGGCCTACCACAATCCAACGCGACAATATTATTGGAGCAATTCGTACGTCGCGGGATCTTCGGCCATATACTATATTAGATTAGTGAATAGTTCATCTGAGGCAGATATGCTAAAATATTGATGGAGAGGTGAATGAGACAGATGAAACCAAGCAAAAATGATTCTCCTCCGCAGCATGTTGTATAAAACAATGGCGGAACAAAGAAACCAACCAAATCCGTTGTATTTACTTCTTGCATTTATTTCCAAAGTTGGCAAGTTCTCATCCTAATTGTGTTGCTACATCTTTAGAGTGGTACAGTCAACGTCATGAGGGTTGAAAAGTCAGCTCCAAAACATCCGAGTTTCCCTCAGTCCAAAGACAAGAGCAAAATATCTCGTTTTAAAGGTGTAATTGTTACACTACTGTTCCACGCTCCAATTTCTCTTACTGGGCAAGACATTTGCCTTACTCCAAAATTGGTGGATTTCACATTTCACCGCTGTGATGCCTAGACATCTTCCAGCCTCTGTATTTGCGTACATACGCACTTGCTGTAGAGTGCTTGCTGTCAGTGCTTTTTTCGTCAATCTATTCATTGTCTCAAAGTCGTTTTTTCAAAGAATACTTTCCACGAAATTGCATTGCGACTGATTGTCTATAGATGTTTATGTCTATCAAAGCTGAGGACATCAAAAAATAATACCTCTTATCAGAGGCAAGGGGTGGGGAACGGCAACGAGGTACGCACGAGTAGGAGACACGGCGATCTAGTCCACTGACTATGTGGTGGGTGATTACGACGATGGCCGTTCTTAATCGAAGTGGCAAATGTTCGAATCTTTGCATTGTCAACTTATTAGGAATTCCATTACATCGAAAGGTTAAACTTTCAAAGGTGTAAAGCTCCCTTTTGAAGTGTGCCTTTGACAGATGGACACTGGCAGTAGGACGAGACCACCCGCAACAGCCTGCAAGATACAAGTTCTCTGAAGAGTTGTGCGTGCCCAATGCGTTCAATCTGGACAAAAAATTCACTACTGGTCAATTACACTCATTCTCACACCAGTTTGTTTCTCGGGAGACCCGAATGCATCTTTGGTTTATGATGTCCTTAAACAACTGAATGCGCTGCACCTGGCCGCCTCATGTTTCAGTGGGTACGAAGAGCTGGATTGTTGCAGCTCTCAAGTCTGTATCAGCTTTATATTCCACCAACCTGAACATGAGGTGGCCTGGTGCAGCACCTACAGTTGAAGAACTTCACACACCGAGAGATTCGGTTGGGGCTTCCATGGAAAATAAATTGGTATGCAGATGACTGAAATTTGATAATTTCGTGCAGTTTGGATTCAGGTAGAATATAAAGTGGACAGAAACTCTGGGAATGCTCCCAGCTACGCCATGTGTACATATGTTCACAAGTATGGCACAACAGACGGTGCGCAAGAGATTGTCACATCCTGGAAACAAATCTGGGTATAGTTGACTTACATCCATAATACATATTGCTATGGTTTGTGAGTTTATTCAGTGTTCAAGGATCGTTTCTTGTTGCTCTTGAGCAAGTGGACAGAGTACATATGTATGGTAACTTGAGGAACAATTATCATGTTGCTAAAACCGATGCCTGAATTGTTTTAAAACACTCGTGCCACGCTGGGACTGCTCAAATTCACATCATGTGATTCACAAAGCTTTCAACGTTGCTCATAGGATTAAATATTTCACAAACAACGATTACGTAACCGCACAGCTTTTGATGCATCAAACAATGACGCTGAACTCACTGATTTTCACGTCTTCTTTGTCTTCGTCAAACGAAGGACAGTAACGGTGTTTGTCGATCGCTTCTTCCACTAATTTTCGTAGCGCCGCACGAGAGACTACATAGCCTGCTCCACCGGAGAAGTAGCCACCCTGTGTATTGGACTTGAGGGAAGAACACAAACACAATTGTAAAGACTTGCTTGGTCTATCTAAACGTATTCATCAACGGCAACAGAATCTAACTGGTGAAAAATGAATCCAACAGAAAGCTTTGGGTAGCATTTCTAGTGGGTCCAGAGCTGGAGTATTACTCCTCAAGAGGAGATCAACTTGATGAGAGGTTGGAAACCCTATTCGTGTGCTAATTCTCTGCGATGTTTTGTTAGTTGTATTCTTCTTATCGCCACATCTGAATATGGTAGCAATTTCTTGCAGTATTTTATCCCTTTTCACTCTGTGTTCATATTTTAACTAATAAGAGGTTTATTTCATCTGGAAGTCAAATTTTGACATACAAATTTTCAGTTACACACTTGGGGAAGATTTTGTTTCATTTGCTTACACAGCGAATAAAACAATGGGATAGAAATGAGAGAGAAAAATGTACTTTCCTCTTGATTCAGATGAATTATGGCCTTCGCCATCCCGTTGTCCGTGAACACAATAAAGGAACCAGCCATATTTGAGAAGTTAGACATTATGATGTGCGGTACAAGGTCAGGTTAAGTACATCATATGATCAAAAGGATGCATGCTGGAAGATTTTGGAGTGCAATTGGGACCCTGAGTCACGTAGATACTTAGTTGACTAGGTTGGCGTTTGTTTCTATGAAGACTGCTTCAGGTTCGTCATCAGGAGGAATGCTATCTATGAAGTTCCGGTGGATTCAATTCAGTTGAATTGGAGAAACATGCTGTTATACTACTTTGACCAGGGAAAGCTAGCCATCACTAGAGGTAATCGGTAGCGGAGAGGGACATAACTAGAGCGTTCGCATATGGTAATCATAAGCGTGCCCCAATTTCTGGGTCACATCTCCACCGTTTTCATAAATCCAGGTAGAAAGTTAGGGTGAGGCAAGTTGGAGAATCGAAACGCACGGATCAGGTATTCCGTCGTGTACCTTTCTGTTAATTCTGTCTATTTGGACAATTTTATGTCAAATTTGTTTCAGTCTTTTGAGATTACCGGTCGATGAGGAAAGCTAGTTCATTGGACTACAAATAATTGTTACATTTGGACCCTCTACCCATCTCGGAATTATCGCTAAATCAGTTACGCATTGGAATGCCTAGAAGCACCAGTCAATTTAGTTTAAGCCGATTATATTTGCTTTCGATTTCCAGGACCTAACGGCGGAGGTCTGTGCTAAGGTCATCAAAGTGGACGAGCCACCTTACTCAATGTAAACTCAGATATCCTTACCAATTTTCATTTTCACCAAATGCTAGCGGGATTTCGAGCACGACCTTCCACACAAAGTCTGGTCTTGGAACCAATGTCACACGAGGATTTGGATAAGCCGAGCTTTACGACAAACCAGTTGGAATTAGATTTAGGTCCAGTTCACATACAATAGCTTCTAGTTGTCTAGTAGCTGATGCTTTAGGCTCTGTATATCAAACTTCAGGCTATTACGTCTTCGATTTTTACAGCTAGTCAGGAGGTTGGAATTTTCAATCAAGGTTAACTTTTGCAAGCGGAGTCGGTCCATTTTGAACAGCCGGTAGGGAATGTGTGGCTCTCCTAATTTTCTAGATAACCATAGATAGTAGATATCATGTGGACCTCGATAACAATAGAACAAGTGAACTTCCGGTTGAGTGTTGACCTCTAAGTCGTTCAGCTAGCCGTGACTAGCTGATCAGTGGTGTAATCAGACAAGATTACACAGGATACCATATCACCATCCCAGTAAATACTAACGCGTACGCGAGGTACATCTGAAGACAGTGTCCATCCGATATTTGGGATTTTTTCCTTTCTCGGCAGATTACTGATAGTCTTAAGGACTCACATTTCTTCGACCGGTAAATTCTTTTTACCGGTTTAGTGTTTGGAAAGCGCTTTAATCTTGGTGGAACCGATTTGGTTCTGTCGTGATGAGATCTACTTAGTGATTTTTGTTTATTGTGTTCTCTAATTTAGTTTCTTTACTGGATGAACAATGTGAAAATTACTTGTTCACGCCGGTCTTGTCAAAGTCAGAAGTAAGTGGACTCATAACTGAGTTACGACGCAGATTGTTGCTCGATGGTTGAAGGTGGCACTTAAAGGTCTAGGACCAATAATCTAGAGTGCATATGCACATCAAAAAAGTTTACTGTGGAAAAACATGATTTCATCGGCTTTTCGATCAATCTGCTTGGTTGTTTCGACTAAATAGGACTTCAAACCAAAAACTGAGCTAAAGAATTACGTATCCACGATTATGCATCTCGCTAGTTGCGAGCGCTTCAGCGAAAAACTGAAGGCTTATTTAGTCTTAATCTGTGTTGTTAGTTGGGTGTTAAACACGAGTATTTTCTTGCGATTTAGTCCCGATTTTTGACCACAGCTCATACATAAAACTTCTCGGCCGGTGCATCAGAGACTAGATTTTTGAGACACTGTCGTGGGACCGACGCGGAAAGCGTACAATCGGTGAGCAAACAGACGCTGTGCTGCTTTCAGGTTACGTTTATCTTTAGTCCAAGTAAGCGGCCACATCCAATTGCTATGCAAACCTGTTTGTTACCATGACTACGGTTTTGGCTAGTTATGCATATGCGGGTGATGATGCGTGTCCTAGAGTCCTCTGTGTTCTCGAGTCCTGGATTAAGGAACAGTTGCACTCAGCGATGATCAGGTTACTTTGATCGAAAGTGAAGGTCAACAGAAAAGTGCGAGACAGCATACTGTACAGGTTCGCTTCGCCATCAAAACTTATTGAAGACAATTAAAACGTTGACTTTAGAAAGTTTACACCGATTCACAATGAAAACACTGCTTCCTGATAGATAAATTCAATAGTTCAGGAGTTTTGTAGATCACAGTTAAGCAGTCATCTGCTGGCGCATCTGACCTAAACGGGAGCATCTTACCGGATACCAGAATCCCATCAAAAATGGATCATCTGGTGAATACTGTTCAAGGACTAGAAGGAAATTCTCCAGAACGACGTAAGTGTCGTCGTCGGCTTTGAAAAAGAAATCGTACTGGTCCACATACTGGTAGATTCGCTTTAGGATGTTACGCATTTTGCTCCACAAATGATCGCGTGTTTCAGGCTGAGTTAGATTGAGCTCTGTCGAAAGGAAAACAGAGTGATAATGGCATGTCACTTGATATCATTGTGATATGTTTCGTGTTGTTGGGATGATTTTTTGCTGAGCTGACTTTCGTCATCTTCATCCAAGGGTCTTTTGGATTTAAAAACAGACGTCGTTTGCTGCTAGGTGAAAAATCTTGTTGAATGTATGTGCCAATGAGTTTCTTATAAGGCAAACAGCTTAAAACATTCAGTGCTTGAATGGCAAGAAAGCCGCCATAAAATCAAGAAAGTCTTTAGCACATGTTCTCACCAACTTTTCAGAACAACTGTTTTATTAAAAATGATGGGGGAAAAACCCATGGAAATTGGCGAAAGTCGGTTTTTTCCTGTCTGTGGTTCATCGTGAAAAGGGAATGGGAAGGAAAATGGGCTTGGATGTCACAATTACACTCGGATTACAGAAAAAACAAAAAATTAAAACGATCCGTGTGGATTGACACAAGACAGATTGATGTCATGCTTCTAGGTGTGAATCTAGTTAGTCTAGTTAGCTATGTGGGCTAAATGAGTATGATATGGTTGTAACCTCTCACGACGTCTCCGAAGAAGTTCAGCCTCCATAAAAACAGAATGTCACGATCAAATATCATTTTCGAGAAGTTTACGAGGAAGTGGTTGAATTTGGCTCGGTGTCAGAGAATATCAACTGAAAAAATTCGTTAAGGGTGGGATCGTATAAGGTGATTCAAGTCATGGTAGTGCACAGTCCTGCTCAGTAAACTCAGACATGCTCTGTGTCCCGTAATCTAGGTTTCTTTCTAATTTAGTTTCTTGTTCACATGCTCAAATCTTCATTTTTCAGTTCCAAACAAACGAACTCTAAAAAGCCCCTACCGAGTGGTTCTTTCAGGTGGATTTTGCAATCAGTGCTTCAGAATTAGACGGGCCGTATCAGTGGCTCCTGAAACTTTAGCGCTCCATAGGCCTTGATGTTTAATTTTAATTAATTTCGGGTAGATTTTCTCTAAGGTATGCTTCAGTGGGGAGCCTGACATACTGTTTCCTATTTTGCACCATTTTTCAGCTTCAGGAGCTTTGCTTACAACGCTGGTGGATTATCTATCATTAGAACAACGGATTACTGGTGAACAAAGGTGACCCGTTTCTAAATGATTCCCAACATAACAGGAAAGCTATATTGCATTTGATGTCAATCTTTACTATGGACAGTTCGGTCACAGAAATTTACTTGAACTAGACAAGCCCAACTCTACTGCCCTAATGAAGGGTTCAACTATTCGATTGTGTATAACAACCAAAAGGCTCCAGGCGCTTCTACGTCATGCTAGAGGCATCTCTAGTCGTCAAAGTTCACAAAGTGGATTGCCAAATATTGATATTTTGAAGCTTTTTAACTTGCAAACACCGTGCGTGGGAAGCAGAAGGCTAAAGATGTTGCTGAAGTGAAGTTCGTGAATCTTTGTGAATTGTGACTTCCTGTTTGAAAACATTATGAAACGCATGAATTGCACCAGGCCTTCGATTTAGACCTGATGCACCTCATTAGCAGAGCGCTATTTTCGTCTTTTCACATCAAAGCGTCTTCACTATTGAACTGGAGTCCTTAAGATAACCCAAAGTACTATTAGTTTTATTAGTTTTCTCTTCGTGACATTTGGTGGCAAATAACAGCCACAAAAGTGAAATCATAAGCATTGTTGATCATGAGATTAGTGAAACCTAGACTGTTTGAAAGGCAGGTTTTTTACTCATAAAATGTTACCGGGTTCACACTCACAATAATGGATATCCTCCACTCAATGCGTCCTCTAAAAGGAACATTTTTAGATATGCTAAGTCTCCAAAGCCACAAAAAACACTCCGGCAGAGAAATTACAAGTTTCAACTCTCATGCTATACAACACATCGATAATAGTTTCTTCGTGAACAAATCAGAACTACCGGCGCTTTTAATCTCTCTTGCTAATGAAGCATCAAGTAAGTCATTTTGAGATCGAGATGAAATTCTCTAAGCGGTAGGTTACTTTGAAGAAAAATTCCTTAGTTGTGAGAAAAACTTGAATAACAGCATCAAGCGGGGTTTGTTAAAAATGGATCTGAACGTTTCACGTCATTTATGGAGATAAAAGTGAGACGTTTAAGAGAGAGACAATACAAAATACGTGGAGACAAATGGTAAACTTTTTAAAACGGCTGATGAGCAGTTGGGAAAATGGAAAAAAAATTCAGCACGAGGATCTGATACCTACGGGGACTGTTATGGCTCGCATGCACATGCTCCCAGAGACGCGCAAGTAAGATTATCCACTGCGTCCGATATTCTAGAAGACGAATCTTCTATTACCGTGCTTAAGTGTATGGTTGAACCCGCGTGTTACTCTAGTCTTCAGAATAGGTTCGAGTTTCTTTTCACTGCATTCAAAAGATCAGCCTTAGTAATGGAGAGATGTACTACTTGAAGGTTTCTTCCCCTTTACCACCCAATGCTTGATTTCATCTGTGAGTTTGTAAGGCAAGTAGATATTATCCAATCTCAGATTTCGAGTAGTTACCTCTATTATGCACATTGCTCCATACCTTTGCCTTCGAACGAGTGATAGAATATCAATGGGATCTCCACTTGGTCCTCTTTCAGCTTATTTTTGCGAGGAATATTGGACGTGATACTTTCAGTCTCGCAGCCGAACAACGACCACTTTACAGATACTATGCTAGTGATAGTTTTATAACCTACAACTAGATTAAAACTACTATGCAGAAGTTGGTTTGCTCTTTCAACCGGGCCGATTCACTCCTGAAGTGGCATTAACTAGGAAATCAGTCGATATTCTCCAGAAATGGATAAACTGAACGTCGAGTTTTTCAAACCAGTACACAGTTTCGTTGATGTGTAATAGAAGTGCACGTAATCAAGTGCCTGTCCAAATATTTGTACGGGTGATACAACCGAAGACAGACTAGTTTCCATTACACGGACTCTAAAATAAAAAGGGAGCCCGAATAATGTCCTATCAAGATGTCTTAGAAAATTCATTACGAAAATGAAGTAGCAGGATTCCATGACTGCCAGCTTGCGTCAGACTACCTTCCACACTCAGCCAGGCTTTTGGAACAATAACACAAAGTTTTCTTAAACATAACATTTTGTTCCATGTAGCCTAGAATTTACCTTCGTGCACAAAACCAACATCGGATAAGGTCGGATAAAGTACAGATGCACAACTCTTCACCCGTTACCAGTTATTTTTGTTACGAATGTGGTACAAGCTATCTGGACCGTATTAATCGGAACCGGTCTGCGCGAAATCAGACAGAGGCGAATAAGGATTGTGTTTTATTAAATAGATACAGATCACCGCGTCTACCCGGTCGCATCGTTCAAGTGATTTATCGAGTGTCAACCGGTTACTCCGAGGTTATCATCGACGGCCTTCTGTAGCGGTTGGAGTGACCGCCAGTAAATTACGTCAGCTCTCTTGCGTCATAAAGGATCACGTGTGAGCACGACTGTTGTTGTTACAACCCGTCAATACATTCCGTCTAATTTCAAGTAACCGATGTAACCAAAAACGTATTTCGACACAATTAGATGTTTTCATCCCATGTTTTCATCCCACGTATCAAGTTTTACTCATGTGTGAAACTGTGTTTGCCGCCTGCTATTTTATTCAAGAAATTCTTCGCAAAACACAGGGAAACGAGCGTTTAATGAACGCTACACTTAGTCAGTAGTCGTTAGCGGATAAATAAAAAACTGGTCACCTGAATTTAAAGACGTAATCGTCATCATTTCCCCGCCTTTTGTTAATCTTTGTAAAGACTTTCAAAACTGCTGAATATTATTAATCAGTACTCGAATGATTGTGATTCCCCGATTAAGTTGACGAGCACATCTTGATGCTCTGAACGTATCGTTCCCGGTTCAGGGAAAACTCTTGTTGTTTCTGATGCACTTTGATTGATGTGGATGCGAACTAATATATACCACAAAACACCAAAACTTGATTGACTTACAGCCATAAACTCGCTAGGTATACTACAAGATTTTGTTGAACTGCTCCTTCCATCAATCAATCAATTAATTTATCAACAATACACCGTGTGCCATTGACACACTGGTTCTAGCTGCTACAGTTTCGATCACCGGGGAAGGGGAAAGTGTGGGACACAGCCAAGTCTTGGTTAGTTCTTGAATCGAGTAGCGGTGTATTCAAGGCGATAGCTTTGATGCACATGAGCTTTTGACTGCGCGAATGGGCCATTTCTGCCAATGTCATTAACCACTGGTGAGTTGAGCTTCGGGTACACCATCCCGGGAGGCGGCCCAACCAAGTATACTGGTTACTGTTTTCGTACTTCGTTGACAAATCAAACACTGTACCCCTATCGGTTGGTTCCACTCAAAACAGGGTTGAGAGAAAAAAAGCTTAGTGAGGCAAACGGTCTTCAGGCAAAGAAATTTCAAGTAGCATATCAATAACAAAGTTGAAGAGGAAAGGTGAGAGAAGTCAGCCTTGTCTTACTTGGCCGGACGTACTGAACCCGTACGCGCCCGCGGAAGTTCGCATACAGCGCCTTCATAAGGGATAGAAATTTGGAAGGGACACCTTGGATCGCCAGATACTGCCAAAGTTGCTGACGACTGACAGAACCAAAATTAGCTTTCAACTCCAGAAAGACGACACACGTGTGAGGTCTAAAGGAGTGGCACTTTCAAGAATTTGTCCCTAGTTGAAGATATGTTCGATGAATCCTCGAGCAGGACAAAGCCCAGCTTGATTCTTACAAATGTCTTTTCCGATAATCCATCAACCTGTACAAAATAATGTCACAGAGCACCTTAGGTGCAACGGATACTAGGCTGATACCATGTGAGTTTTCGCAGGACGTTTCTGTCCTTTTTTCGAAAACTGGGATGACGGTCAAGGATTTCCATTCGGCTGGTATTATGCTTTTGTTCCAAATCTTCTGCAGTATTGTTATCAGATTGTTCACCAGGGCCTCCCTACCTT